GGCAGCAGTGCAGTGTGGGAAAACCCAGCTGAGAGTTTCTCTGGCCTCGAGCCGCTCCTCAGGCTTCCCAGCGCGCCATAAAAGTGCGTTTTTTTTCCTCTGCAGTGGCCAGCTGTTGCAAATTATACCAATGTGAGAGTGTGTGAGCGAGGGGGGGTGAGGAGGGTGAAGAGGGGGGAGTCATCTGGTCGGGACTCATTGTTTTGTGTCTGAGGAATGAAGTCAGCGTGGGAAACTGGGATGTGGAGAGATTATGAGAGCTGCACAGCTGGACGGGCGGCTCTGGAAATCACTGAGGGCTTATTGCAGCCGATGAAAGAGGAAGAATCCCTTTAACCCCCCAAATATCCCCAAAATGGCCCCAAATATCCCCAAAATGGCCCCAAATATCCCCAAACTGACCCCAAATATCCCCAAACTGGCCCCAAAGTTGACTTTGTATCTCCAGCCTGACGTGTTTGTGAAGCGTTTTTGATTTTCAGTCGCAGGCGGGTTCTTTTTTCTTTATTATTATTTTCTTTAACAGGTTTGATTAATCAATCGGTTCACGTTGACGGTGAATAAATGTTATTTTCCCGCTCATGGTGAACGGTGTAACGTCATGAGGATGTTTCACTGGCGGCCCCACAACAGGTTGTTCCTGACTTTTAGTGATTGAAAATCAAAATCAAAAGTTTCCCTTTCGACCAGGAACAAGAAAAACTCAACAAAAAACAAAACTCAAATATCTACGGAAGCCCATTTCTGCCAATGTCACAGGGAAGAAAGAAATTCTGTATTTTAGTAGTAGTAGTAGTATTATTATAATGAGAAACGTTCTCATTATAATATCATACAGATAGTTTCCCCTCACATTGGCAGTAGTGGGCTTCCGTAGGTAACTGCTCGGGCAGATACGGCGAGCCGCTCACATTCGGTGTGAAACGTGTCCGCTGAGCTTTTCCTGGAAGTACAAAGACATTTTTTATCTTGTGAGGCATTCAGGAGATGTTTTGCCTCCATGTTCAGACTTCAAAGAAGCGCTCAGGTAGTGAAGCGAGTAACTGCCCCCCCTCAGACGGCGGGATGAGTCCAGCTGTTTGCACGTGACGCTTGAAGTAAGCTCAAGTTCACACACGTCTCTCTTTAATTAACAGCCTGAAAGTGAACGAGAGGCACCTTTAATTAGCTTAGGGATTTATAAAGGAGGGAGTTTATTATCATTTATGTTTCCACTGATGCTGAACGAGGTTTGTATCTGCAGCTCGTGTTCAGACGACATCTCAAAACTTTGGCTTCTTTCGTGAAATGAAAGGATGTGAGCATTTCCACCCAGCTGCAGTCGGAGTGTTTCAGAGCGAGTGATGATCTGCGAGCAGCCTTAGTTTCCCTCGTGGGTTTCAGCTGTGTTGGTTAAATCCAGATAAATGACGGAGGCCCCCTCTCAGCCCATCTGCACTCTTCTGCTTTACGGGTCTTTCATGTCGGCTCTGTAGTCTGAGTCGAGTCGGGACACGTCGCCTTCCCGCCGCATCAAACAGAAAGACGAGCAGACCTGAGCTCCACAAACGCCTCGTATTTCCTGAGATTAAGAGCCGGCATCATGGCCTCAATCTGAAGCCGCTGAACATGACGAAGGAATCGAACCTCAGCAGCCGGAAACAGTCGGGTACAAAACAATTTATGATCTTACTGACTGATTTGTTCAAATAATAATATTTATCGGGTTCAAACCACAAAACCCGATCCACCTCGCTCTGAAAGTAATTAGAGAATCAAACCTCAGTTCCCTCATCAGATAACTCCAGACCTCATTCAAAGTGTTGCAGGTTGTAGAAGCTTGATCCAGTTTGAAGCTGCATGTTCACTATAAACTGGATCTTGGTGGTTTGGTGGAATAATAAGGGCTTTGTCAAAGTTAGTAATGCAAAAGTAAAGTTCGACGTTGGTATCAAAGGTCTGATGTTCATTAATGGACGTTTGCCCCAGTTGGAGAAACAATCGAAAGAATCGAACGAGAATCAACGTTTCACACAGCAGAGCTCGTTTCAAACATCATCCAGTTTCTGGATCAGGTTCGGAGGAGGCTGACTGCCTCAACCGAGGCTGACCGCCTCCACCGAGGTTACTTCTGTCTGCAGTATCTAAAGCACTGAGGATCCTCTCTGTTAAAAATCACTCTGACAGAAAGAGACAAAATATTTACGAGACTTTAAACAGGAAACAAACTCTTGATGCAAACTCAACGAGCTCTTAAACAAACATTCGTAGAACCGCTTCCTGTCCAGCCGACGATTACACAACCACTGAAACTGAAGCTGGATGCTTAAAGACTTCATTTCCCAGAAATCTGTGATGCTTTTGGAGGAAGGTTTTGGATTCTAACTTCCTGTGTGGAGCAGATTTTTCCACCGGTGACCAACTGACCTCAACACTGACCTCACAGGAACAAACAGGAGGCTCAGCTGGTGGCGATCAGACGCTCACTTCCTGTTTCAGCCTCAGACTAAGGCTGGTTTTCAGAATAAGACCAGACCCCCCCCCAGGGTGTGTGCTGAGGTGTTCACATTCCTCCAATCACACACCTGAGATATCTGTGGTTATCTGCAGCAGAACAAAGCCTGAGCTCTAATCATGAAGAGAACAACAACACAACAACGGAAACGCCGCCCGCAGGGAGAAAACTCAGCGTGTAATTAAACACATTTCCATCTGAGAATGAGGCGCTGAGCCCGGCTCTAATCAGAGTTCAGTACCTGAGGCTACAGAGACACAGTCAGCTCCAACCAGCAGCATGACTGAACCTCTCAGGAATGTCAGGCACTGTTAAAAACAGTAGTGCTGCAGGGAGGCCGGAGGCTTCAGAAATAGACAGGTATTTTTAAAAGAGTCGCAGCAACGAGGGCGGAGAGCTGCAGACGGAGAGCGATCTGATTGGTTGTTCAGTTTATAAGATATAAAACCAACCAGAGTCCGTGTTTACATCTTCACAGAACTCAGATCTTCAGGTTACTGTGATATTAAAGAGAAACACTGCAAGTGTTTGCATCTACAAACCACTTTAAATCTATAATCTATAATCTATAATCTATGTTTCACCGGTCGCCTGTCGATGGCGTCATATCCCCTTTGTTCCTGCGTCAGCGTTGTGGTTGTCTGCCAGAAGGTGTCATACATTGACTGTTGATCCAGTGTGAAGCCACATTGTTACCATCCACTGTTTAGATCTTGGTGCTTTTTAACTCTAGATTTGAACCGGATGAAGGATTTTAGTCATCGGACGTCTGGATCTTAAGTTATCAGAGAAACAAGCTGAGCTAACGTTAGCAGCAGCTCGGCTCGCAGCCCCTCCGGGACGTCCTTTGTCTGTCCAACAGCGTGGGAGAAGCAGTGATTGTTAAGGTGGAACTGCTTTATTCAGTGTGTTTAAGGTGGAACTGCTTTATTCAGTGTGTTTAGTGGTTTTAATCAGCGGGTCTGTTTGTGTTGGAGAGGAGGAGACCTCTGTGGATCATTGGGCTCCCGGTAGAAACCTCCTGAACCATGAACACTGAAGGAATCCTAACCGGGAGAAGCTGACTGCAATGACGCCAATGGTGGTGAAGACAACAACTCCCATGATCCCACGCTGCTTCACCACCTCATCTAACTTCCTCTTAAAGACAGATTCATTGTGTGTCCATCAATCTCATAAACCGGAGCAGATACAGATTCACTGATCGGTTAATATAAAACAAGAATAAAATAAAGTTGTGTATGAATCATCATTGGTCTGATATTCCTCCTCATGTTAACGAGTATGTGTGAGCAGGTCCATCATCAAACTGGAGACCACACTCTGTACAGTTCATTATTGTATTATATTATTATTATTATATAAAGATAGTGTTTACAGTCACAGGAGAGAGGAAGACGAGCAGGAAGTGAAGCTGGATGAGGAGAAACGCTCCTAAAAAACTTATTTTAGGTTATTTTAGTCTGAAAACATCACAAACATTAACCAGCAGCGGCTCCAGGTCCCGAATGAACCCCGATGCTGAACTCATGTGAGCTTCCGGACTGATTCTGACGTCCTTCAGAGACCAGCTGTCCCCAGAGGACGTCTATGTGCCCCCCCCACCTCAAACAACTGAATCCACACTCATGGTGATGCGTTTAGGGGCCATCAGGACACCCGGCTGCTAACTTCACACCTCCGCTGTTTGCGGAGAGGAAAGCTGCTGACAAACAAAGAGTGACAGAGGAGCAACTACAGGGAGAGGCTGACCCCGCCGCCAGGTCAGAAAATAACTGCAACCCCCATTACTCTCACACACACACACACTCTCTCTCTCTCTCTCTCTCTCTCCACCCCCAACAATGAAAACTATGTCCCCCCCCCCACACACACACACACACACTGCTGGCAGCAAACATTCCTCATTCCCAAAGTTTCCAAGTTACATCACTGATTCTTCCTCTGACTCGATGATGATGAAGATGAAGATGAAGAGCAGAGACACAACAGAAATCTTGTTTAAGGTTACTTCAAGTTTTTCTAAAGCAACCCTACAACAGAAAGCCAGACCAAACTCCTTAAGAAACTTCACTAATTTAAAGTTTCCCCTGTGGCACACAACCCTGCTTACATCATAAGTCACAACTGTAGATCTGATTCGAACTGGAACGATGTTGTCTTCAATACGGCGCACAGATTTTACTGTAAACATTAGTTTTCTTTAAAATATAACAGTTTGTAGAGCTGGTTGTCGCTGCCCACTGAGGCAGATTTAGACGAGCGGCGGCGGAGCGGCCGATAGGAAAACCTTATCTGTAAAGTTAAATTTACCCCAGAAGGTTTGGTGTGAGGGTTCAGGATGTGAGCCGAATTAAAGAGTGGGTCCTTTAAATGTATAAAATAAAGTTGGTTGTGATTATATATGAAGCTGCTTTAAACAGGACACACGAAAACCTTAAATCGCGGGTTTTCCACTGCGGGTTTCGGCCCGGCGGAGAGAAGGGGATGTAACCGGGGGTCTTACCGAGGTGCAGGGTGAGGTTGATGGAGTCGGGGTACTGGATGCCCGCCAGCATGGTCTGGCTCTGCCACCAGGTGGTGTCCTGCTGGTTGTTGTAGTCGGTCAGGTACACGGCGCTGTGGTGGTTCCCGGAGTCCCGGGAGTCGCAGATGTGGCAGGACTTGGTGACCCCGGTGGCGCCGGTCTGCACGCAGTACTCCTCCGGCGGGGAGCCGCAGGTGTTGGTCGCCACCACGGTGACGTTAAAAGCGGCGTTAACGAACTCGGGCATGCAGCGCTGCGGCGCGTCGCGCTCGTCCGTGCACTCATCCATCGCGGCGCGGACGCACACCGCCACCCAGCTCCAGGCGACCAGAGCCCGGATCAAACTTGGCATTTTTTCAGTCCTCTCCGTCCCCCACTCTCGAGCTGAACAACTCCGACACAAACTCTTCCTCAACTTGTCCAAAGTTTACGGTAACTCTCCGGTTACCGACAGATTCCCGAGCGAACCGTGAGAGCATTCAGCAGCGGCGGATCGTCTGCGCTCCAGGCCGCGTCCAGAGCTTGTGTCCCGGCTGTGTCCCGCTGTGTCCCGCTGTGAGAGGGTCTCTGCTGTCGGCCTCAGCTCTTTGTGTCCGCCGCCATGCACCAACTCCAGCAGGAAAAGACGAGACTCCAGACTACACCCAGTGCGCTACTGCGCAGCTCTACGGCGCAGAGGACACTGCGGCCACTTCCGTGTCAACCAACTAAAGTCCAGGGAAAAAAAAGAGTTTAATTAAAGCGACCAGCGGTCACCATGGTAACCATTATAAAGCACACACAGTGAAGGTAATGAATGAGGTTATAAATAAACCTCAAAACAACAACAACAACAACAACAACAACAACAACAGATTTATTCAGATTGAATTTAAGATAAAGTCACACACAGCTTCCGTACAGACAGTATTCAATCAATCAATCAATCAATCAATCAATAGAACTCTTCTCTTTGTCTAAGCTGTGTTTGTAAATGTTGGATAAAGTCTGCAATCTCTCAATCTGATAAAGAAACTAACTTTAACATCTAACTGTGAACTCCTCATTAATAGTTTTATGAAGGGTTTTTCAAACTAAAGTGTTTCTAAAGGGTCAGATTTTCAGAATAAAGGAGCAGCAGGGCTGACTGTGTCACTGAGTGACTTCAGGACCTTTTGGACCTGAAGTGAAACAACATCAGAGATAATGAAGTCTGTTCATTAACACACAGTGAGCTCTGATTGGATCTTCATCACCTTCCACACCTTTAACCCTGATGATGATGATGATGATGATGATGAGGTCAAAGGTTAAAGCCTCACACAGTTAAAGTGATGAATATTAAAGGAGTTCATTAAAGAGACACTGACGAGTTATAATAATATAATATATTATTATATTATATTATATATATTATAATATAATATAATAATATAATATAATATAATATATTATATTATATTATATTATAATATAATATAATATAATATAATATAATATATATATTTTTTTAGTGTCCAAAGCTCAAAACTATTACAGTCATTCAAAGGAAAAGCAGCAAATCTTCACATCTGTGAAGCTCTAAATGACTTTAATCATTGATTATCTGTCAATGAACCGATTGATTAATGGCCTGGTGGTTTCAGCTGCACTTTATAAACTGTTGGTTGTTTCATTTATAACAAAACTTCCTCTTTTCTTCCTGTTTGTGTGTGAAACTGTAAAGCTGTCAGATAAAAGTGGTGCAGTAGTTGTACATTCACACTGCAGGTTCAGCTGTGTGCACTCATTAATAATAAATATCTTATTTACACACACAAACATTAAAATAATCTTTTCTCAGTGAGCAGAGCTCCTCAGGTGAGAGTGAGGTGCATCCTGGGAATGTGAGGACAGGTGGCGCCCCCTGCTGCTCGTCTGCTGCCGGTGTTTGATCAACAGACTGAAGTCATACAGTGGAGAGGAAGCAGATATAAGAAGTCTTCATCAACATTTATTTATTTATTTATCAGACATTGTTTACAGTGAGGGTTTGTTATTTATTAAGATCTGATCAGACGTTATTGATCCCACTACAGCCGCTCCAGATACACAGCAGGTAGAAAATACACATTACATAAAAAACAGAATAGAAGAATTATTAATACACTTCAATACATCCAGAACTCTGCTGCTCGCCTGCTCACCCACACCCCCTCACTGTCCTCCAGAACCTCCGCTGGCTCCTACAGAACCTCCGCTGGCTCCTCCAGAACCTCCTCCAGAACCTCCGCTGGCTCCTCCAGAACCTCCCCAGACCTCCTGGCTTAGAATCTCCGCTCCTCTACAGAACCTCTGCTGGCTCCTCCAGAACCTCCTCCAGAACCTCCACTGGCTCCAATTTAAAGTCCTCCTCACTCACAAAGCCCTCCACAACCAGCCCCCCTCCTACCTCACAGACCTGCTCCATCACCACACTCCCTCCAGAAGCCTCCTCGATCTCCGCTGGCTCCCCACTGAGGACCAAGCATCTGTCCTGACCTGGCCAGAGCCTCCCTGGTCCTCCAAAAATTCCTCCAACCCCACAGCCCTCCACATTGCTAGCCTGTCCATCACAACTCCCTCCGAAGCCTCCTTCTCCCCTAGCTCGTACCTGGACAGAGCCTTCTCCATTGCTGCCCCCTCCCTCTGGAACTCTCTCCCCAAACACGTCCGAGACTGTACTGATCCATCCAACTTCAAATCACTGATCAACACCCTCCTCTTCACAACTGCTTTTAATGTTTCTTGAAAAGAACTCTATAAATGAAATGTTTTATTATTATTATTATTTATTATATGTACATTATATTCAGCTTTCTATATACAGATGTGATTAATATGGAACACTGAATTATCTGTGGACACTATATTTATCTTTATCATTATGGATCATGTCCGTAGGTGATTATTAAATATCAGATGTGCTGACATAAAGAGATCCTGGAGACCCTGAAGGATCAACAGGTTAGCAGCCAGAACAACCAGAACTACTACACAGAGGTCTGAACACTACACTGACTTTAAATTACAAATAAAATCCCAACTGGAATATCAGCACCAACAGCTAATAGCTCATGATATATTATATTAATATTCATATGTTTGTGTTTCTATTAAACAGATCAGGAACAGAAAACAGTAATAAACTCAAACTAGATAAATAAAGGGAAAGTACGTGAATTCATTCAATCTAAAGGCTTGTGTTTGCAATCCATGTTCCTGCTTTAAGAGCTTCAACGTTAGACAGAAACTCATTATGAAATCAAACTGTTTCACTTTCATTTGCTCTGATTTGTGTTCAGGAGAGTGAGAATGTGGTTGCTCAGGTTCACTGTTATTAACTCAGGTTCATCCATTACTCAGCTTCCCATCAGCCTCGGTGCACAGTGATACACAGTTCCAGACACATTCAACCACTGTCTGCAGAGACGCTTCACATCCAATCAAATGCATTGATAAAGTTAAAGCAACCAGAGCAGTTAGAGAGTAGAGTTGTTCCGATTCCGATATCTAAGGGTTAAAGTGGACCCTGAGCTTAAGTTTGACAGTCAGATCAAGGCTGTTGTCAAATCAAGCTTTTTCCATTTGAGGCAGCAAAATAAAGCCAATTCTATCAAGGCAGCACTTTGAGACGGTAATCCACGCCTTTGTTACCACTCGGCTGGATTACTGTAATGCACTATATGTGGGGGTTAGTGGGTCCTCCATCGCCCGTCTTCAGATGGTACAGAATGCTGCTGCACGTCTTTTAACTGGCACACGTAAACATGAGCACATTTCCCCCATTTTAGCCTCACTCCACTGGCTGCCAATTCAATTTAGGATCCATTCTAAAATTCTTTTATTTGCGTTTAAATCCCTGAATGGTCTTGCCCCGCCCTACCTCTCTGAGCTTCTACACCCCTATATACCCGTCCGCCCCCTCAGGTCAGATGATCAGCTGCTCCTGAGTGTGCCTAAAACCAAGAGGAAGCTCAGAGGGGACCGTGCCTTTACTGTGTCTGCTCCTAAATGATGGAATGATCTGCCTCTGCACATTAAACAGGCCTCTTCTCTGTCTGATTTTAAAACCTCTTCTCTGTGGCCTTTGACACCTTGTAAGATGTCGACTTTATTTACTTGATTTCATTTCTTATTTTGATTGCTTTTTATTGCGTGGTTATTATTTTTGCTCATGTTTTATGTCTTTTCATTTTATTGTTGTATTATATGTTATTTTGCGCCTCATGTGAGCTGTTATATCTTTTATTTATGATGTCTTGTTTATTCTCCTGTACAGCACTTTGGTCAGCGTTGGTTGTTTTAAAGTGCTTAACTAATAAAGTTGGATTGGATACTGCCGATGAGGCTGGCACCAGTCCCACTGATCCGATACCACGTCATTTATTAGAAATAGGAATCTATTTACTGGTTAGCTACATTAGCTCTGACACACTTCTTCTTCGCCACTCTTAAAACAGTTGCGCTGTGCTGCCATCGCCAGCTGCTGTTTTAGAGAAGAATTGATGACCTGACGCCTGTTAAAAGGAGCTAACGTTAGTGCATCATGTCGGCGGGTTGCAGTACTTTACAGGGGATGTTCCCGCCATAAGACGGCCACATGCAACATATGCAAAGAAGCAATTTCGACACCAGCAACTGAATCAAACATTTGAAGACACGATAACACTTAATTCACACAGCACATATGTACACATAAACAACACAATGACAGGAGACCGGATCTTGATACAAAGAATAGTCTTTACTTGCCAGAGAACAGGTACAGTACGCAGAAGGTGACACCGCACAAGCAAACAAAAGCCCCAAACACGGACAACACAAGGAAAAAGGCTTGAATGCTTCACACAGAGGAACAAAGAGCTGGCACAGTGTGAATGAAACACAGGTAATATATACTGAACGGGGAAAAGACAAAGACAAGAAAAACTACAAAATAAAACAGGAAATAACCACAGAAAACCCAAAACCATAACAAATATTCCATCAGAACTAATGTTTGTGTCCTTAATGACGGTCCCTCACCCGGTTCACCCAGTCGCAGGTGATCAGGTCACCACTTTTCAGGTCCCGGTGTAAAGACAGCCCACTTCAACGGGCTTCCACCCATTCCTCTTCCACCTCCTCCATTCGCTCTGGTTCTAGTAACACTGCCTGGTTGGTTGCTACAGATCAGAGTTTTATGCATTTGGCCCCTTTAATGTGAACAGTAATATCATTAACATCAGTAACAGCCCTTGTTTATGTTGCTAAGCAACAACTCGTAAATTCAAAAAAAAGTTCTGAAAGAGAAATTCATCAGAAAATTCATTAAAGAATATAAAATATAAACTTTTGTATAAAATTAAGTAGCTGCTTTAAAAAGACGTGGTTGACGCCCTACAGCTCGCCTGGTAGAACTGGTGCCCTGTGTGAGGCCTTTCTGCCGCAGCCGTGGGTTCGAGTCCCGCCTGCGACTCTCCTGTCTATCTTCAGCTGTCCTATCAAATAAAGTCAAAAAGCCCAAAATGGTGAAGCCTTTGAAGCAGAAGGGCAGCTGTAGGGTTTCTCTCCGGAGTGCGTCCGGATCATGGACGAGGCGATGTTGAAGAGCTTCCCGCAGACGCTGCAGCTGAACGGCTTCTCGTCCGTGTGGCAGCGTGTGTGCACCGCCAGTTCCACGTAGCGCCAGAAGGTTTTGCCACTTAACTGGCAGAGGTGGACCTTGACGTGCGTCCGGAGGTGCTCCAGCAGGCTCTCGCCGTCGGGGAGCAGTTTGCCGCAGACGCCGCAGAGGCAGCGCTTGTCGGCGGCGTGGATCTCGGTGTGGTTCATCAGTGAGCCGCAGCTGAACACCATGCCACAAGCTTTACAGCTACGGGAGGTGGTGTTACCATCGCGCTCTGAGCGGCAGAAGGAGGGCGGTGGCCTCCTCCTGTTCCTGTTTGATGGCGGGAGGCTCTGGTTGCTCCTGTTTGATGGCGGGAGGCTCTGGTTGCTCCTGTTTGATGGCGGGAGGCTCTGGTTGCTCCTGTTCGATGGCGGGGGTTCTGGTTGCTCCTGTTTGATGGCGGGGGGTTCTGGTTGCTCCTGTTTGATGGCGGGGGGTTCTGGTTGCTCCTGTTTGATGGCGGGGGGTTCTGGTTGCTCCTGTTTGATGGCGGGGGGCTCTGGTTGCTCCTGTTCGATGGCGGGGGGCTCTGGTTGCTCTTCAGGCTGCTGCTGGAGAACGAAGACTGCAGAGGAACAGACAATCGGCCATTGTTTCTAGAGTTACGTGTTGTTACGAACATGTTAATTCAATTCAATACAATTTTATTTGTATAGCGCCAATTCATAACAGAAGGTATCTCAGGACACTTTTCAAATAGAGCAGCTCTAGACCGAACTCTTTATAACATTAATTACAGAGACCCAACAGTACCACCATGAGCAAGACCTTGGAGACAAGGGCAAGGAACAACTGCCTGTTAAAAGGCAGAAACCTAGGACAGATCCTCCGGCTCTAGGTGGGTGGTCGTCTGTCTCGACCAGTTGGGGTGAGAGAGAGAGAGAGAGAGAGAGAGAGAGAGAGAGAGAGAGAGAGAGAGAGAGAGAGAGAGAGACAGACAGACAGACAGACAGACAGACAGACGCACAACAACAACAGTAGCAACAACCACACTAACAGTAGATGCTGATGACGACAACAGCAACGTTTGGGGACAATGAGCAGTGACAATAGTAATAATAGTAACTGTAGCACTGTATTAATAATATTAATAATAATAATAATAACACTAATATCAGTGATATTAGCAATGGCAGTCAAGCAGGACCATGGCAGGAGGAATTGTTAGGAATTGTTAAAATGTGATATTTCTTAAAGGGAGTTTGGTGCAGGGAGCTTTTAGTTGGATTCAAACTGCTGATATGGATCATTGTTAACGTTTAGTCTCCACTACAGAAACACTAGCTAACTGCTGAAGGCTGATCAGGTTGTCTGACGTCGCTGATCAACGACTTCAGGACTCCAGATTACAGACAGGAAGTTGTGAAGTGAGAATAATTAATGGTCCCGACCAGGTTGGGAACCGGTGGCGGTCGGAGTCGGATTATAGATGTTTATGTTTATATATTATAATATTATTATTAGATTATAGATGATATTATATTATAGATTGTGGCTTTAAAGTATGGATTATATATTGTATGTTTATATATAATAATATTATTAGATTATGTATCTTTATTATATATTATTATTATTATTATATGATTAGTTTATTATAGATTATTATATTATAAGATTATGGATTATGTCATTAAATATATATATATATATATATATATATATACACACACACATTATGGATTATGGATTATAGTGTTAAATGTGCAGCTTTAAATGAAGTTAATGGATCAGTTGTTTGGTGAAATAAATAATAAAAACTGTATAGAATTATAAACTACTAGTGCACTGCCCGTAGGAAGTATGTATTGCTATAGAAATTGGCAGGTTAAGTAGCTTTTTCATGGATGGCCAAATGAGGTTGTGTTTGAAGGTGGGACGTCAGGGACATTTAGGTTTGTTGTGAAAGGTGTAGACAGATAACTATTGTGTTTTCATATAATTTGGCTTTTAACAAGGACACTGTAGGGAGTTGAGCCCCAATTGCTGACTTAAACTGTTGTACATATGGGTTGCACTCGTGAATGGCTTCTTGTGCTCTCAGCAAGAATTCTTCATTCAGACCACTGTTTGAGGCATGAGTGTGGTGGAATTCCACTTCATGGGCAGGATCATGGAAGTAGATCTGAGCAAAGACCCTGTTCAGGAAGGACTGGCAATGTAATGAGAAACTCTCCCTTGTGTTCGTACACCTGGGTTGAAGCCAGGAATAGCAACTTCTCTAATGCCAATGCTTGCCATGGCCAATGAATTGTTGTATTGTTTTGCTTCTTTAACAAAGTTGTGATTAATGAAGAGGTCCTTGATAGCATTTGGAGGCTGTGGTGGGATTGAGCTGGGTTTGGGATTTGTGGGATTGTATGTGAGGTCTACTTTTCCAGACATGCAACAGAATCCGTTCCTCTCCTCTTTCCATACATAAGCATTGCAGTGTGAACATGTAGGACACTCAAACAGTGAGGTCTTACTAAGTGTGTGTGTGTGTGTGTAATCACCATACAGCTTCTCTTGGAAGAAGTTTGCATCATCACACCGAGCGAGGTTGGGATTGTTTTTACGTGCCTGTTCCACACGTGCACGATGAATTTCCTGATGGCACAGGGCATCTCTTGCCTGTCGTTCCTCTTGCTGTTGAGGTGTCTCCTCCCATCTGTGGCGGTTGTGTTGTTCACGGTCATGCATCTGGCGCGCTGCTCGCACTTCAGGTGTTTCAACATCTCGAAGCCTCGCATGACAGGCGGCGTCGCTACCCAATCGACGACTTTGCTGGTTTTTAGTTTTAGCTGCGCGGCGCCTTGACTGGAGTGCAGCATTGCTGGCCAGTCGAGTGGTCCGTTGGGAGTCGGTTTCAGCTGCGCGGAGTCTTGCCTGGAGTGCAGCGTTCCTGGCCCGGCGGGCATCTCGGGCTTCAGCTGACTCAGCCTCACGTGCACGGCGCATTGCCTGACGTTTTTGCTCTCTTTTTGTACGATTGGCTTTCGGCATGTTAACATCCACAGGTAGCTGAATATCAATTGGACTGCAAGAAAAGAAATACAGCATTCAGTTTAAGGTTGGCATGTCAAAGGAAAATAATGTTTTTGTCAATTTGTCTGCTGTCATTGATGTCTAACTTCACCACAGTTATCATCAGTTACTATCTAAACTAGTAATTATAGAAGTTTGTTGTAGACTAAGGCAACATTCCTTCTTTTAAAGATAGCCAAAACACAAACTCATTCCTTGTCTTTACCTGGTGTTGAACATATCCCAGGTTACATGACAAAATGGAAAGTGATCACATTAAATAATGGAAATTGAACACAACCACCGTAACGTGTACGCGTGGGCTTCAGAAAGCAAACAATCTGATTGGCTATTCCTCTAGGCGTGATTGACATGTTTATGTCTACTCAGTTTTCCAAGGAGATGGCTTATTTAGAACAGGGAATAAACCCCCTTGGTTTCACAAAGGCAGGACGGGAAATTGTAACATTTGCCAAGCAGCGACCGTACCGGCGTTTCAGTGTAAAAATTACCTCACACACACACACGTCACAGGAGCGCCCTAACTATCTATACCTGCACGTGGTGGTATCCCAACTACTACATGATAATGGCACATTGCTGAATTATTCCAGTCACCCCAAAAGAGTTGGCAATTGTTATGGCTGCCATCTGGTATCTTAACTCTCTTAAAAGGAACTGTTTACAGCTTCAGACCTCAGTTGGTAAAATGTGTTTCCACAACGAGGAATAATAATCTTTATTCCAGAGAGATGTCACCAGTATCTTTAATGTTGTTCCCTATTGGTCTAACTTTGTTGACAGCCTGAATTGGGGGAATATCTGGAACCTTCCTTACGAATAAAGTGCCGCTGTTCGGTGCGGCTGTTCGGCACCGAACAGCGGTACCAGAGCAACTCGGCGCAGCAACAGTATTAGCATCATTACCTGTTGAGTCTTCTCCTCCAGCAACCGACCCAGTTGGTCTGATCTGCAGTGATTGGCTCTGGTGGCTCCGGTAATGCTAGTGGAATTCGTAAATAATTTATTAACGGTATCTTTATAGTCCAAACAAAGCCGACGATGCACAGCCTTAAACCACACAGCAGCCATGTTACAACTCTCAGCTCAGTCTGATCCTCATCTACAGAGATATTTGAGCACACACACACACACACACACACACACACACACACACACACACAGAGCCACACACACCACACACACACACACACACACACACACACACACACACACACACACACACACACAGACACAGACTCCCTACAATCATGTATAATAACTAATAACTAATAATTAATAATTAATAATAATAAAAACACAAACATGAAACAGTGAATCTTGTGACGTTGTCCGGACTCCTGTCCACGTGCGCAGGTGAGTACCGTCGGATGAGCTGCTCCTCGCGCTCCACCGGCACTCTCTCCCGCCGCCGTTAACCGGTCGGTGAGCAGAGTCCTCAGCGTCCGCAGGCTGCTCCTCCTGGACCGCTCAGTCCCTCGGTACCGGAACGTTACCGGAGCTCAGGTCAGCAGCGGAAGTTCCGCTCACACTTCACAATAAAAGCTCCCCTACAGAACAGTCTTTATTAGTCATTAAAAAGCACTTAATAATGTAATTAATTAACTTATACTGCATGAACATATTCTTCTAATTACTGCTTATTAATACTGAGTAAGAACGTTGTTGTACGTAAACTAAATATAATATATAATTTAAATAATATAATAATATAATAATAATAATAATAATAATAATAATAATAATAATAATGAATAAAGAAACAGTATGCTACTAATATTAATGCTAATAATATTAGTGCCTACTTATGTAACATTCCTGTTTTATACATTTAAAAACAGATCATGAAGTAAAACTGAACAAATAAAAGAAGTTAAAAGAAAAGAACAGTTACACGATGGCAATGTTCCTGTTATTGATTGTATTAATCGATATATGTCCAATATATTAATGAATGTGTTGATGAGGAGGAGCTGGTTGCTGTGATTCCCTGCAGTGACCAGCAGGTGGAGTTCAATCATCATCAATGTTTCATTACAGTGAAACCACTGAATATATTATAATTACATTTATTTATACTGTCGTTCATGAAAGAGGTTGGATTCATTTATTAGTTTGATTCAACTAATTAATCAAATAATTAATAATAAATAAATGGATCTGATAAGTTCTGACATAATTCTGAGATAATAAACAAACAGAATTATAACTTTCTAAATCTAAATTATGACAAAAGTCAAGATTATAATCAGATAAAAATTAGGACATAAAAGATTAAAAATAGACAATAATCTCACAATGTGAACTATTATATAAATATTACTAAAGTAAAAGTACGAATAACATATTAAAGACCCGGAAGAGCAGTTTTACTCTGTAGTTAAAGTACTTTACTGAAGTAATCAATACTTTATCCAGTGTGTGCATTATATTAGCATTATATATTAGCAATATATTAGCATTATATTAGCATTATATTAGCATTATATTAGCATTATATATTAGCATTATATTAGCATTATATTAGCATTATATTAGCATTATATTAGCATTATATTAACAGTTTATTAGCATTATATATTAGCAGTATATTAGCATTATATTAGCAGTATATTAGCATTATATTAGCATTATATTAGCATTATATTAGCAGTATATTAGCATTATATTAGCAGTATATTAGCAGTATATTAGCATTATATATTAGCAGTATATTAGCAGTATATTAGCATTATATATTAGCAGTATATTAGCATTATATTAGCATTATATATTAGCAGTATATTAGCATATTAGCATTATATTAGCATTATATTAGCATTATATATTAGCAATATATTAGCATTATATTAGCAGTATATTAGCATTATATATTAGCAGTATATTAGCATTATATTAGCAGTATATTAGCATTATATTAGCATTATATTAGCAGTATATTAGCATTATATATTAGCATTATATTAGCATTATATTAGCAGTTTATTAGCATTATATATTAGCAGTATATTAGCAGTATATTAGCAGTATATTAGCATTATATTAGCATTATATTAGCATTATATATTAGCATTATATTAGCATTATATATTAGCAGTATATTAGCATTATATTAGCATTATATATTAGCATTATATTAGCATTATATTAGCATTATATATTTATATTAGCAGTATATTAGCATTATATATTAGCATTATATTAGCATTATATATTAGCAGTATATTAGCATTATATATTAGCATTATATTAGCATTATATTAGCATTATATATTAGCATTATATTAGCAGTATATTAGCATTATATTAGCATTATATATTAGCATTATATTAGCATTATATTAGCATTATATATTAGCTTATATTAGCATTATATTAGCAGTATATTAGCAGTATATATTAGCAGTATATTAGCATTATATTAGCATTATATTAGCAGTATATTAGCAGTATATTAGCATTATATATTAGCAGTATATTAGCATTGTATATTAGCATTATATTAGCATTATATTAGCATTATATTAGCAGTACTTTGTTGGTACTTTTACTTCCTCTGGTGCTCGTCCTCGCTGCGCGCTCTCGCCACTCTCTTCCCGCGGGCTCGCGCCGTTGTCTGGCTCGTGCCCGCGCAGGCGGTGGGGGGGTGACGGTGTGATCAGCGGCGGCGGCAGAGTGAGCGGCGACCGGCCGGAGAGCACACCGTGAGTCCGCTCACTTTCAGCGGCTCACTGTGGATCTAACTGCGGCGTCTGGGTGGACTTTACCGGGGCAGGAAGGGAAGCAGCGCCCGTTGTCTGGAGCTTCGGCGGGTTGTTGGAAGTTTGAAGCCCGCGGAGGTCACCTGGAGAGCGGAACAATGAGGGAGAGTCAGCCGGGCTGCCGGACCCCAGCTAACGGCTAGCTCCTAGCGACTGTCCGCTGACGGATTAACGGACACTTTTACCGGTAACCGGCTCATTCACACGGTTAACGGACACTTCTGGACGAGTTCTTTCTAACAGTAAAGTTTCTGAGGATATGGAGGCGGACTCGGTGGCGGGCGACGTGGACTCGCTGCACGGAGGACTCCTGGATCCCCTGGTGGACCGGATCCTGGTGGACACCGTGTCACAGCAGCAGGGATGGGTCCGGGTCTACGGTAAGACCGGAACACACCGTGAGAGAGGAAGACTAACAGACAGATAACGATTACCTATAAATCTAATAAATCCACACAGATCAATACTGATCACATCAGAACTAATAACAGAATAATGGGAGGTAAAAAGTTCCAAACTGTCAGATAAAAAGTATAAAACATCCAAACTATCAGTTCAAAGTATTATTAAATTAATAATATATATAATATATATATTATTAATTTAATAATATATTTAATATATTTAGATAAAAACTATTCATTATAATTAAAAGTCTTTATTTTATTTTATTTTATTGGCGTTAATGAGCTTCCATAGGTTCTCTGCAGAATAACTGCTGGGACCAGGTTCTCCGTAAGTGGACCAGGTTCTCCGTAAGTGGACCAGGTTCTCCGTAAGTGGACCAGGTTCACCGTAAGTGGTCCAGGTTCACCGGCGTGCCGGTTACCTTGTCAGTTTCGTAAGTGGTCCAGGTTCACCGTAAGTGGTCCAGGTTCACCGTAAGTGGTCCAGGTTCACCGTGGTCCAGGTTCACCGTATTGAGTCCAGTTTCACCGTAAGTGGTCCAGGTTCACCGTAAGTGGACCAGGTTCACCGTAAGTGGTCCAGGTTCACCGTATTGAGTCCAGTTTCACCGTAAGTGGACCAGGTTCACCGTAAGTGGTCCAGGTTCTCTGTAAGTGGACCAGGTTTACCGTAAGTGGACCAGGTTCTCCGTAAGTGGTCCAGGTCCACTGTATTGAGTCCAGTTTCACCGTAAGTGATCCAGGTTCACCGTATTGAGTCCAGTTTCACCGTAAGTGGACCAGGTTCACCGTAAGTGGTCCAGGTTCTCCGTAAGTGGACCAGGTTCACCGTAAGTGGACCAGGTTCTCCGTAAGTGGTCCAGGTTCACCGTAAGTGGACCAGGTTCACCGTAAGTGGACCAGGTTCACCGTAAGTGGTCTAGGTTCTCCGTTAGTGGACCAGGTTCACCAGACTGCCTCAGACTCGGCTGTACAGGCTTTATTGGTTCTCCAGTCGTGGGTCCTCGGGTTGTGGTTCTGTTCTGGTGGCAGAACTCGTCTTATTGGAGTCAGCAGGTCGTGAGGGAGCTCTGTGTCCTCCCCAGAGGTCAGAGGTCAGAGGCAGCTTCTTGGTTCACAACCAAAGGTTCCTCCAGAAATGGATCCAGATCTACAGAACCAAAGAACTGAAGGATCCATAAACATTCATTCACAGTCCGGACTGAACGGACTGAACGGACCTCAGTAATCGATCCAGTCCTCCACCGACAGTGCGAGCCGGAACCAACTCATTAATGACAGTTACAGTGCCTGAACCCGGGGGCAGGGTCGGGTCCATACATTATCTGTACTTTATTATTATATAATTATAATAATAATAATAATAATAATATATAATTATAATAATAATATTTAATAATGATATTAATATATAATAATAATATAATAATAATATACATTATCTGTACTATATTATAATAATAATAATAATAATATACATTACCTGTACTATATTATAATAATAATAATAATAATAATAATATTAATATATAATAATAATAATAATAATATAAAATTATAATAATAATAATATTAATAATATACAATATCTGTACTATATAATTATAATAATAATAATAATAATAATATACATTATCTGTACTATATAATAATAATAATATACATTATCTGTACTATATTATAATAATAATAATAATAATATAGAATAATAATAATAATAATATACATTATCTGTACTATATAATAATAATAATAATAATATACATTATCTGTACTATATTATTATAATAATAATAATAATAATAATATATAATTATAATAATAATATTTAATAATGATATTAATATATAATAATAATATAATAATAATATACATTATCTGTACTATATTATTATAATAATAATAATAATAATATACATTATCTGTACTATATTATAATTATAATAATAATAATATAGAATAATAATAATCATAATAATAATATAAAATTATAATAATAATATTAATAATATACATTATCTGTACTATATAATTATAATAATAATAATAATAATATACATTATCTGTACTATATAATTATAATAATAATAATAATAATATACATTATCTGTACTATATAATAATAATAATAATA